ATGTAGCCATGTCGGTTAAATCTTGAAAATAACGTTTAACACAAGCTTTTTAGAGTATGTGTTGTGAAGATAGTTACTATAACATTAGGTTTTAGGCCCCTAATTGTAAAATTGTAAAAGCCAAAAAAAATAATAAAAATAAAAAATAAAAAAACGATTTTGCATAATATCCTCCTTTAAAGCTGCAGTAGGGATTTCTGAAAAAAAAAAAGTGGACTTAACCTGAAAATTTGATTGAGCACACCTTTCAGGTCTCTCCTCCTTGCTCTCTGCCGCACTACAGCCTTTCCTCCACAGCAGAGCCTGCCAGGAACATGCAGCCTAGTGAGCAGCARGGCTACCAATAAACTGCTGTGACACGTTCAGGTCTCTCAAAAATTGGCAGTTTTTCTTTAATGTTAGGTTGATTCTCTGCCATCAGCACATCTGCAGCACACCGGAAATCTTGATCTTGAACTACGGTTATGTAGTTCTGTATGTATATTATATGTTATATGTAAATAGTAAATGACTTGAATTTGTATAGTGCTTTATCAAGTCCGTATGGACCCCAAAGTGCTTTACACTTTAATCGTTCACCCAGTCACACACACATTCACACACTGATGATGGTAAGCTACACTGTAGCCACAGCTGCCCTGGGGCGCACTGACAGAGGCGGGGCTGCTATGCACCGGCGCCACCGGACCCTTTGACCACCATCAGTAGGCAAGCGGATGAAGTGCCTTGCCCAAGGACACAACGACTGAGACAGCTGGAACGGGGAATCGAACTGGCAACCTACCATTTATGGGATGACTCCCTTAACCACTACGTTGGAGGAAACACTGATTGACACCGGTAAGACATTCCTCCTGGCTCTGATTGGCTGTTTATGACTGGCAGCTGTGTGTTTCTGCAAAAGGCAGTAGGGCAATTCGAAGGAGCTTCATTTTTTTTCACAGATCACATCATTATTTCACAGTCTCACATTTTACTGCCATTCAATTTTAACAAATACTGTATGTAAAATATTTTTTATGAAAGTTACCTACTGCACCTTTAACTCCAAAATTTGTACATACAGACATACAAATCTTACTCTATCAGTAGCACATTATCAATTACTTTCAGCTTAAACCAYGCCAAACATTAATAGGAAATGTGTAAAACTAAAAAAAATTGCCATTTTGTCTGTTTTAACATCGGTTGACAATTGCGGCCATCTTGAACTGGACCAGCACCAAACAATCATTTGTACATGTTACGTACAAATGTGTGTGATGATTCATGATTGCTAACAGGCAGAAACACAAACATGTGCACACACACATTTACAGACACAGGTATAACCATTATCACCTGTCTTTTACTTCTTGGCATTAGTCAGTGAATACTTTCATTCTTAGTCTTCTTAGCCTGCAGATTTTTTACTGCAGATATTCTCCACAGTATGCATCCTGAACACTTCTGCTTTTCATCACTGCTCCATTCTTTGCAGGCTTTCATCCACAACTTCAGTCAGCACACACTGAACACTGTATACACCACTTTAATCCTGGTGTTTGCATGTTTTAGATTCTCTTGCAATGTGTTCAGGATTCTGTTTATCTCTCTTGCTGGAAACATTTTAAACTCATGTCCACTGCAGCCGTAGTATTTGATGCCTGACCTTACCAAGTGACTGTCAGGAGCTCAGTTAAGCACACTCCACATAATCACCCTAGAGTATGAACAAAACAAAAGATGAAGGTATACTTTTAAAGCAACCCATTTTCATCAGAAAGGATGAAATTTTGTGACTTTGCTGCTATCGCTTCACATTACCCGTATATAATGCATTTCAAAGCAAAAGGAATAATAAAAATAAATTACCATAGCAAGCACATTTGCAACTGGGGATTTCACTTTTCTAATCCATGCCTCATATACTTTACACAGTGGGAGGAAATCAGAGAAAACCAAGTCTATCAGATTCAAACTGTCCTGCACTGAAAAAATAATTTCCACTCACAGCACTTYGTTATGATAGAATTGATAACAAGACATGATAAAATACAAAATAACAAAATGTAACTTCTATTTGTACACAACTTTCTCTCAATGTTAGACTTTGTATTATACTTTCAACTAGCATGCCATCTTTGTGGCTTCYGTGAGTTCCAGTGGTGCTCAGCTGTCATCCCAGCTCAGCCCTTAGCTCTGACTGTTGGTAAAATAGACCTAAAAAAATCCCTCTAAAAAAGGAATGCTGAGGCAGAGACAGAAAAACCCGCTCTGCCTCCAGCTGAGGTGGCAAAACAAGGAAAAAGCTGACAATTAGATATTCTTAAGCCATATCATAAGTGGATAAAACATGGGCAAACACACACATGCAACTGCAGACAAAAACTGGATGTGTGGAAAAAACTAAAAAAAAATTGCAAATTATATCAACAAGAGGATACGTGGCGACCTTGTTGAACAGATGTGTGCTCWTATTTGGCTCTCTGACGGCTTCTTACCGGCTGAGTGAGTTCAGGGATAGCAGCGCGATAGGTTAGGGGGGTGCAGTCGTGTGTGTTGTTCACCAACACACACGGCAGAAACATGGGACCCAGGTCATCCCCATCGAGAACGTCCACAGTCAGAGTGGTGGTGGCTGATCGTCTGTTGGGAGGGTACGGAGCACGGTCCTGCAAGATAAAGAAACTCTTCAGCCGCAGCTCTCCAAGATCCAAAATATTTGCTGCATTGAGCACTGAAACAGTCATTGACCTTCAAGGTGGAGCACCACAGAAATCAAGTTACCTCACATAGACCAAAGTAAAAAAAAAGAACAACAAAATAAATATAAAAATAATTATAAATAAATAAAATCCATAATTTTCTGAGTGGAAGCCGTTACTTTTCATACATGCTTTGAACACTGTGGCTAAAACAATGATGCAGATGGTTTATGATTTTTTAATGCATGGGGATGATGCACAGATAGATGTGGGCACTGATGGGAGAAGCGGACTTTAGTAGTTTCAATCAATATATATCGGAGATGTGCGCAAGTTTTTTTTTTTTGCAAGTCCAAGCCTTTGACCAAAAATCCAAGTCAAGTCTCAAGTCTGTTGACCTCAAGTCCAAGTCTCGTTGCATGTATTACTTAACTGGCAGTTTGATCAAAGGTATTCTAACTATACTAGATTATATTCTATAATATCATATTTTAATCAAATATTAAAACATAGTATTATGTTTTAAGAATATTATTAAACCATAATATTATTTTAGAAGTACAGATAAAGTTAGGGTTGAAATAACAATCAAGCGAGTATTGTTAACTGTATTTTGCACTTGTAGTCTTACAAAATCATACTGTAATTATATATTTTCATTGACAAAGAACAAATCCAACAAGTCTGCTGCTGATTTTACAATAAAATACCAGAAAAAAATTTTTTTAAATGCATAAAAGCATGTCAGTGAAGATGATGAACCACAATCCTTAAAGTAAAGCGGCTGCACAAGTCATCACAAAAACAAATTTTGGATTTGGACTTCACACACTTTGCATTTTGCCAATCTCTTGTCATGGCATTGAATAAAGTCTCTGTAAGCAAAGCTTATAATGAATGGCAGTGGAGCTGCCTACTGCAACACACCTGCCATGCTGAAGCTCTGTTTATCACGTAGGGTATGCATCATTAACATTGGACAGCGCTAGCCCCTCCCATTCTCATGTGAGGGGGAGTATGGAAGAATTATTCTGACTTTAATCAAGAGCGTATATTTTCAATGTGAGAGCAGGAGCAAATGTCTTTGCTCTTAAAACTTTACGTACTTGTTCTCAAAGGAGCGGAGCATGGATGTGTATTGAGGGAGTGAGAATCGTGAGCTGTGCAGTGAAAAGACTTGCATTGTTCATGAGTCTCAAACCACAAGTCTAAGTCAAGTCTCAAGTCTTTGGGGTCCAAGTCCAAGTCAAGTCTAAGTCTCTAATAGTAGGGACTTAAGTGCGACTCAAGTCCAAGTCATGAGTCCCCATCTCTGATAAATGTGACCAATCACATCGAAACGAGGATTAAGTCCAAAAGTGGTATAAGGAGAAAAAGACTAATATAGTGTTTTGACTAAAATGTTAAAAATGGCATTTTGTCAAAATATAATGAACAAAAGCCTTATAAATGTATCATTTGAATGAACTGCCTGAAATATAGTCATAAAACAAAATTTTGAAGCACTTTTTTGAGCAGCAGCAACAAAAAAAAATTGATTGTGAGGAAAAACGCCTTAAAATTTTGAGATTTTCCTTGTGAGCTAGCAAAGTGTTGTTTATATATAGCTGGGAAATCTCAATATACAAATATAATTTGAGGTTTCCTCTTCATAAGGACATCAAAAATTCCTCATTAAAAGGACAAAAAAATAGCATTCAGACCAAATATTTATGTATTATTGTAACCAACAAGACAAATCAAGTCAGATAAATGGATTTAATTAAGAGAACTGAATGATCCAGGTATCAAAATGTAGCTTTTAAAGCCAAATATCTGAAAAAAAAAAATATATATATATATAAGAAACACTGGTGTGTACTAAGTGTGCTTTTCTGAACTGCATTCCGTACAACTAGAAAACCGTACAACTAGAAAACCCCTGGAGTAAACCATTCTAAAAGGCACCATTTGTTAAAGTTCAGAGTTAACTATTTATGTTTGAGTCCACATTTTACATCGAGTACCTTCAAACCAGATAGAAACAGCAGTATCCCTTACATCTGGTTAAACCTGTTCATTAAAAAATTTAATCAGAGCAAAAGACCTTACATGGAGGCATTTTTTAAGAAAGATTTCCTGCTATATTTTTACTGCTTCCCAGCATGATATCCAGAGAAATGATCTTCACAAAACTAAGGATTTACAATCTCAGCCTAATTGAACTCTTGACACAAACAGAGTAGAAGGCTAGAATATTATCTCTTCTTCAATTCTATAATTTTAGTACCACATGCTAGCTTTTAACATTTTAGTCTGTCATAACTTTCTGGTTAAGGAGAGGCATAGGAAGAGTGTGGAGTACGAAAGGATTTTAAGTTTTTAGTTTATTTTTTAAAGAGAACTGGAACATTGTCAGAATGTGTAATAATCCATTTCATTTCCCTCAGAGGTCAGAGATAGTAATAATTCTACATCCAAGTTGACYATGTTCCATTTGCAAGTTGAAAAGTACATTTTTTCACATTCAAAGTCTATGTATGCACTAAGTCACTAATGGTGCAGTTTTATTTTTGAAAAAAAAAAAAAAAGAACGAGACCAAAGTGTCATTATTTATAGTATTACTGTAACTGTTAGCCCTTTTTATGCAGTGGGCAGCCATGTTGGATGATGAGGTCTAAGCTGTGATGGTCCTCGTGCGTTGGCTGCTCCTGTGTCAACAAACATTTATTTTATGCCATCTGGCTAAGGGCTATGGCAAAATTGAAAGCATAACAGACTCTCATTAAACTGCACACCGCCCTAATGGCATTATTTGGATTAATTTTGCAGATTTTTTCTCAGTCATCCTGTCCATTGAGAGTATGAAGGAAATTGCCTCCCCTCAAGTAAATCCATAATCAAATAAACTCTGAAATGCAAAGCTGCTGAAGCACACGCAGACTTTCAAACTCAAAGAGAGCACGTATCAAAAGCAAATTGCAAAATAGTTCTGCTCTAAGTTGCAGCTTGTAGGAATTTCTATTTGTTTAACTGAATCATGTGATACAACTTGCAACTCTTTAATTATTAATTTGCTTTTCAAATCTACTTCGACTTGTAAATGTAAAAATGAAACGCATTTTGACAACTTTGAAAAAAATTTTGATTTTGGCCTGAGCCTGCACCCAAAATGATGAATTATATTG